GGTGGAAAGAGAATAGGCAAGAAGGATCGAATTCTTCACCCTTCACTTTCTCTGAACAGATTTTTGGCAATAAAAGATTACAATTTTGCTTGTTGATCTGGCTCTTCGGATACAGCATGGGTCTGGGTGTGCCTTTCAGAATCCAGTTAGGGATATAGCTGAGGAAGCTTGTTCTCTCTCTCTCTCTCTCTCTCTCCCTCTCTCTCTGTGTGTGTGTGTGTGTGTCACAAACAAATTACTAAACCTACCGCTCATTATTACAAGGAAAGGGCAACTTTAATAAAGTCAAAAGCGCCTTAAGCATAACCACTGATTAAAACGTCCCACCCCCCAATTAAAATTGGCATCCACCAATTAATCAGCAAAGGCTTTAGATGACTAATATATCGATTAAAGCAGGCTGCACTGGTTATACATTAGTTTGCAACCCATTTGCATGCTTGGAAATAAATGCAGAGCCATAACTCCGTGACAGACCGCAGGTGGTCCCGCATTTAATCTGTGGAAAGCCTAGGACCATGGGATGTGAAAGACCCTCTGATGGAGACCCTTGAATTGCACTTTTGTCTCCAAAGACAGAGAGTGCCCTGCATGCTTCCAGAACTTCCAGTTAGTTTTACCAAGTGGCTAATTCTGTCCTGCTCTAGAGCACTCCAAATGAAATCAATACAACCAATCTGGAGTAAATGATCTGAGTCTCACAATCTCACAGCCTTACAACATGCAATTTCAAGTCCTTCCTTCCTTCCTTCCTTCCTTCCTTCCTTCCTTCCTTCTTTCCTTCCTTCCTTCCTTTTTCTTTCTTTCTTTTAAAAAAGTGATATACGAAAAGATGCACTCTTAAAGACTCAAGGTGTCAATAACTTATAAAAACAACAACTGGGCTTCAAGGCCACTTAGTATTTCACATGCTTCTCTCTTGCTGTGGCAGTGGGGGAGATAATGGCTCCCAACCGCAGAAACGACCTTCAGTTCTTCTTTAAAATTAATGATGTCAAGCATTCCTTCACAATCATCTGCTGCGTCTGTCACTAAGTACTTGCTAATGACCTTTCCATCTTTTATCTGCTGTCCCCAGCACCTTCTAATTGCTGCAACAAATTCATGTAATAAAGCAAATTTCTGAATGGATATGTTAAGGTTCAGATTCTGTAACTACTGCTGACACTGAGTAGCAATGTAGTGTCCAAAAGTAGTTTCATTAGGGTTAACAAAGATGTTTGAAAGCAACTGCTGTACACACACACACACACACACACACACACACACACAGAGTGTGTATATTAAAAAGGTAAAGGACCCCTGACAGTAAGTTCAGTCGTGAACGATTCTGGGGTTGTGGTGCTCATCTCGCTTTACTGGCTGAGGGAGCCAACCTTTGTCCGCAGATAGTTTTTCCGGGTCATGTGGCCAGCATGACTAAGCCGCTTCTGGCAAAACCAGAGCAGCACACGGAAACGCTGTTTACCTTCCCACCGGAGTGGTACCTATTTATCTCCTTGCACTTTGAAGTGCTTTCGAACTGCTAGGTTGGCAGGAGCGGGGACCAAGCAACGGGAGCTCATCCCGTCATGAGGGTTGGAACCGCTGACCTTCTGATCGGCAGGTCCTAGGCTCTGTGGTTTAACCCACAGCGCTGCAATTCCACGTTCTTCTTATTTTGTTAAGAAAACAAATCATTCTGTTTAAAGTACAGTTTAAAGTACAATATGGGATCCCATACAGCTAGTATTATCTTGCCTTGGGCCTTTCAGCAAAGCTAAAATAGTGCTCAATATTCAGTCGGTGGTGGCAGCAAGCTTTCCGTTGGGTTCTCCAACTGTGGGTTTAATATCAACTTCAAAGGCAGGGCATTCAGAGGCTCAGGTGAACTGATCTTCTTAGGGACTACCAGGGAGTAGTCAGAGATAAAATGGATCCAAATCCAGCAAACACAGAAGCAGAATAAGATAGATAGAACCACAGAATCATAGAGTTGGAAGGGATCACAAGGGTCATCTAGTCCAACTCCTGCAATGCAGAAATCTTCTGCCCAACCTGGGGCTTGAACCCATGACCCTCATGCTCTACTGACTGAGTTATCAAGAAGAAGAAGAAGAAGAAGAAGAAGAAGAAGAAGAAGAAGAAGAAGAAGAAGTTGTTATTTATATGCCGCCCAACTGACTGGGTTGCCCCAGCCACTCTGGGCAGCTTCCAAAAAATTTAACACATTAAGCAGATAAGCAGTCCAGAGTCTGCTAAGATGAAATGTCTGCAAATAAGCCCACAAAAATAGGGGCCCATAAGTATTGGGGTGGCTTGCCAGCCAGCCATCAATCCCCTCCACTCCCTCAAGTCTTCCAGCTCATGCAGAGGACTTGCAGCGGGAGGCAAGGGTCATCTCTCATTTGTGCAGGGTATGAAGAGGATAAGAAACTGTGGGAGCCTCTCCTGCCGCCCTCACTGAGCTATGAGGAACAGGGCCTTTTTGTGGTGGCACCCCTTTTATGGAATGCCCTCCTCAGAGAGGTTCACTTGGTGATCATGCCATTGCTAATGGGATCAGGAATGGAGAAACGGAGGAGAAGAAATAGAACCCCTGCTAGGCTTCTGAGCAAAGCCATTCTTCTTCAGTTAGCATTTGTACCTGCGGCTTCTCACTGTGTTAGCCTCCCATTTGAGTGTGGCTGGGTTTTGCCTCTCCCTGTTGATTACATCCAGGAGACGTTTTAATGCAGCGAGAGCAACTATTTCCTCCCCTGCTGATATTGCCAAATAGGATTGCAACTTTTTTAGAACTGATGATTTTGCAAGGAAGCCAAGACACTCAAGGCAGCCTGTCAGAAGTGATAGATGCAAACTACTGCACAGGGATTTAAACAGCTTTTGAACAAGCATGCCTTAAAGGACTTGGGATTTTTGCAATGGCTCAACTCCCCAGCGCATTCCTAGCAGAGATAAGTGAAGCGGTCAGAGCAAACAGTGCCTTCTTTTTTGTGTGTGCCTCCTCACATGCATTTCTAGAGACCTGCAATTTTTGCAGTGGACCCTTTGTGTTAATTTATGGAAGCTGGTGTGCATAGGCTGGAAGGAAGAGGAAAAGGAAGGACACGTATTGGGTCTCTAAGATGTGTTCCCTAGCCTCAAACCCTACAAGAATTGTCACTCTTGATTCAAACCAGAGGCCAACAGAAATCAATGTGCTGGGAAGATTGCAAAGGTGGTACCCAACTTTTGAATTGACTTTTGCTGAGGATGTAGTTGTCCTCCAAAATTAGTCTGAACTAGCTCCATATTTGCACTAGCACTGATCCACAGCACTTCCCATAATACTAAGCCCTGCGATCACAGCCCTGCGATCACATACAATGGAGAACAAGTTGGTCACTTTATGGCTGCAGCATCAACCAACAACCAACACATGGATGACCCAAACATCACAGATGAGGGTGAGGATGATTTAAAGGAGGTATACACCACCTCTTCATTCTGAGTAGAAATACCAGGCGGTACACACGAAAAGACAAATAAAAGGCAAAAACAATTATTAAGAAGAAAACTGGTCATAAGAATACAGCTACCCATAAGTAAGACACGTAGTACAACGATTTCATCAAAGTGATCCATAATTAAAATATATAACAAACAACCCAATTAGAACAGAGTAACAGCTAAAATAGTAAGAATGATTTTTTAAAAAACTGGGCAATCAAGTCAGAGGGAGAACCACATATGCCACCTTGATCTGCTCTGAGTAAAGATGGGATATAAATATAACCATCATCATCATCCACTGTCATGTATTCAGAGGATAGACCTAGTTCTGATGGGTTTAAGTTACAGGAAGGTAGATTTCGCTTGAGCATTAGGAGAAGCCTCTTACTGGTAAGTGCAGTTTGACAATGGAACCAATTACCGTATTTTTCCGTGTATAAGACAATGGGGTTTTTTTTGCTACATTTGTTAAACTTGGGGGTCGTCTTATACACTGATGGGTAGCTGTATTCTTATGACCAGTTTTCTTCTTAATAATTGTTTTTGCCTTTTATTTGTCTTTTCGTACGTACCACCTGGTATTTCTACTCAGAATGAAGAGGTGGTGTATACCTCCTTTAAACTTGGGGGTCGTCTTATACACTGATGGTACTACTTACCTTCCCACTGCTGCCATGAAGAACCTGCAGGAACTGCTGGAGCCACCGTCCCTCCAGCGATCTCCCCCAAAAAGCTCAACAATTTTGGACAATCTCAGGTATTGGTGGGGCACATTCCACTGTCCACGCGCCTGCACCCCCCTGCTGCTGCCACCACCCCAGGCATCAACGGTGGTTGCTACACCAGTGCTTTGAATATTTAATAAAATATCAAAGTTGTTCTGTTTCGTGTTAAAAATATTGATTTCTTAATTCTGGATTCAAAAAGAAGGGGCCGTCTTATACAGAGGGACATCTTATACATGGAAAAATATGCTAAATGTGGTGGTGGTGGTGCCTCTCCTCCACTGAAGGTCTTCAGGCAGAGGTTGGACAGCTCTCTGTTCAAGGTCACATCCATACCATACATTTACAGCATCCTCGTACCACTGCAATGGACATGGCTTCCCCTAAACAATCCTGGGAACTTTACTACACTTCCCAGGATTCTCTGTAGGAATATAGGAAGCTGAGGTCCAGCACCGAGAGCCTTCTGGCGGTTCCCTCACCGAGAGAAGCAAAGTTACAGGGAACCAGGTAGAGGGCCTTCTTGGTAGTGGCCCCCAACCTGTGGAACGCCCTCCCATCAGATGTCAAAGGAATAAACAACTATCTGATGTTTAGAAGACATCTGAAGGCAGCCCTGTTTAGAGAAGTTTTTTAATGACTGATGTTTTAATGTATTTTTAATCTCCTGTTGGAAGCCACCCAGATTATTATTATTATTATTATTCCTTATACCAACTCAGGCCATTGGTTCAGTACTGTCTACACTGATTGGCAGTAGCTCTCCAGGCTTTCAGATAAGGAGTCTTTTCCAGCACTACTTGGAGATGGCAGGGACCGAACCTGGGACCTTGTGCATGCAGTGCAAATGCTTTGCCATTGAGCTACGGCCGTTTCTTGACTGTTAAATGTATGGTGCAGATGGGACCCAAGGTACCCTTGCTCTGGATTCCTTGCAACATCAAGCAAGGCATTGAAGTTAATAGCTTGCAAGGTGCCCTTTCATCTCTACAGTTTTTGAAGTCTACTTTTGCTGCTCAGAATGGCTGGCCATTATGAATTTGATTGTCCCATAAAACTCAAGCCAGTCTCACGTTGAGTTAGCTGTCCATTTGAGGGGTTCCATTGGGCATGCACAAACAAATTCAAAATGGCAGCTCCCACCCATGTCATCTTGACTACAAGTGGAGCCCTTGCATTTCTGGGTGGTAGTCAAAGTTTGGGACGAAATCCATCGATGCATCAAAACCAATGCATTTCCATATCATGGACATGTGCCTTGGGTACCAGCAGCTCTGTGTGGACTTTTAAATGTTCAGCTTCCGTTTAAAGAGCAGTGAGACCAGCAGAAGGCAGAACGTAGCAGTCAACATCACACAACTTTGGGGTGGAAGGTTGTGCTGGTGAATTTTGGGCTCTTCAGTCAACAGGACCACCAGAAGAATCCACTCATTAAAGTACACAATTGCGCTGCTGAAACTCATAATGACATCTCTTGCTTCTAACCAGCCTGAATTTGACTCCCCACCCGCCACAACAATGTGATATTATTTTGGCCCTCAAACTGAGCTATTTTAGCTTCAGAAAGCATGCAACATTATTGGTAGGAACCAAATGAATGCTCTCATTTACACCTTCATTTCCTTCTCACAAACATGACAGCTCCTGAATTGTTGACAAAGCTCGGCAAGATGTGGATCTTGGCAAACCAACCAAGAATCCTATTACCGAGAACTGGCAAAGGGAGAGCCAGTGCCTCTGAGTGCATTTCTTCATAACTGTCAGCACAGAAGAAGCAAGCAAAAGATATTCTACAGCCATAAAAATAGCTTACAAGGCCTGTTTAGTACTTGGCTAGGAGACTGCCTGGGAATTCCAGGTGCTGTAGGCTTTGACTGCTTAGTGTGGTATAGAGGTTATAGTGTTGGACTTGGACCTTGGAAACCACAGTTCAAATTCCCACTTAGCCACAAAGCTCACTGGGTGGCCTTGACCCAGTCACTGCCTCTCAGGCTAACCTAGCTCACAGGGTTCTTGTAGGGGCTGATGGGAGTTGTAGCTCAAAATATATGGAGGGTTTGTGGAAGGCTAGGTTGGAGATAGATCTATCAAACGCTATTGGCCACAATGGCTTCAGAAAACCTCCATGTGCATAAGTAGTATACCTCTGAACATCTGGTATAGCAGGCTTATGCCATCAGCTTTATACTTTGCTTGCGATTACTTCTAGCTGATCACTGCTGGAAGTAAAATGATGGACAAGTCGACCTTGGACTGATCCAACAAATGAATCTTTATATACTTAGCAAGGAAATTCAGCTGTACCTGACAACTGCAGGTTCCCAGCAGATGTGTAACACATTCAGCTGGGGATGCTTGAAGAATTTGATTTTTGTGAATTCCAAAATCAACTGGCCTAATCCTCGCTTCCTTGACGGGTGCATGGATCAGAATATAGTAATCCTTTACATTTCGTACAGCTTTGAATTTTGCAATACGGTTCTCCCAAGTTTAGACGTATGTATTTTGAGAAAAGATGCCTTATTTGAGAGAAAATAGTTTCCAAGTATGTATTTAAACCTACTTCTTTAAAGTTGATTTTTTTGGTGCAGATTTAAAAAAAACAAAAACAAAATGCAGCAGCTTAACGTGGAAACAGGATGGAACAGACTTATGAATGAACACATGAATGAACACATGAATAAGTGATTCAGACCAGAAACGGTTTGATCCTTCTATCCATCGCTACTGCGGTTCTGCAACTGCACCTTGCTTCATTAAAAACTGATTATTATTATTAATGGTTCTTGCTAACATTGCTGAACAGAAAAATGAGACTAGAACTCTTCAGAAAGACCCAGCCTCCTAGACATGTGCAGGATGAAATTAGTATTTTAATAAATTGGAAGTCTTTTTATCACTAGACTTATGCCAGAAGCATGAAAAGTCAATAGGCATTGATCTCATATATTGGAAGTCACTTTTTGGCATAGCTGTTGAATGTCTGCAATGTGATAAGCAAACAGAAATTCCAGTGGGGGAAAGAAACACCAGCCACCTGGGAAGGGATAAACTGAGTGCTGTTCTTAAACAGTGACCTGCATTGGGTTATTCTGCATGCTCTGAAGATGCAAAATGAGATGAGCAAGGTCCGAAATGTCACAGCAATCAATGAGAACCAAACTTAAATTATATTATGAATTTTGATTATGCCATGGGGTTTCCAGCAGATGACATTGTCAGAAAAGTAGATTCGTGTTCTTTTTTTTATTATTTAAAAAAAGGAATGTTCCTGTAGTACTAGTAGAAAACATTTTCATTAAGTCGATGGGGGAAATTTCCTTGTAAGGGTGGCAAGACAAGCTGCCTTGAGTGCTCTCTTGTAGTCCTACTTGTAGAAGGGAAAAAGCTAAATTTCATTTCTGAGGATGGTGTCCATTAGGGCTGCTTTGAATCTTCCCAGGAAATGCCGGTAAAGAACCACAGAACATTTTTTTAAAAAAAAAAACTGCACTAGAAACCATCAAATCTGTATGTGCACAAAGTGCCTTTGAGGGGCTGGATTTCATTACAATTTGTAGGACATTAAGCTAACATGCCTAAAATGTCATATGAATCAGGCCAGACCAAGGCAGAGACAGGCAGTTTCATTGCAATTGCAACGGTTAAAAGTAATAATTTCATTAAGGAGATTAATAAGATTACTGGCCAAGGGACACATCCATCTGCAACACTGGTGTTGTTAAATATGTTTCTGGATAGAAATTTAGATCTTAATCACAAAGGCGTGTTGCGTCATTTACTTTCAGCTGCACAATAAGTTGTGGCTCAGAACTGGAAGACGTTTCAGAACATAAATACTGACCAGTGGCATCAAATTTTTTGGCAATGAGAAACTGACTGAAAAACTAAGGGGACAAAAGTTTAAGGACTTCTTTGAGAAAGCATGGATAGCATTTCTTTATTATTCAAGTGTAATGGTTAATGTCTGCTTTCCACCCACAATGCATTCTAGACTATGGATCTATTATTTTCCCTTCATCTCAAAACCCCTTAAAGAAAAACCCTGTGAAAAAAAATTTAAGCAGGAAGTGTTAAGATTATCAGTGTATCTAGTTACAGAGCTGCCTTAAGCCTGCCATGTTTACCCTTTTGCATCTCTTTTGTTTTTGTTTTGCATTTGTGTTTTCCAAAAAGCTTAACGAAAAAGAAATAAAGGAAAACATGAACAACAATGAATGATACTCATCATGATAAAAATTACTTAGCATTCTCGTAGCTTCCGGTGTTCAAAACACTTCACGTACATTAATTTAGTAATGCTCACAACATTATTATTATCCTCAGATTGCAAGCAAGGCGAGAAGGCTGAGAGGCAGAATCTTTCTAAGGCTGCACCTTGCAGGCCTGGGGAAGGGATTTAATTCAGAGCTGGAGCATCTGCTTTACATGAGGAAAGTCCCACTTTCATGCTTGTGTCCACACAGTGGTGTTTAGCACATAGGCGGGTCACGCTGGTCTAATTTTTCTCTGTGTGAATTTGTCACATTTGCCCATGGATAAATGATTTCTTTAAGAAGAAAAGTGTTGACGTTTCCAATAGACAGTAGTGCATAATGCTCAATGGACAGAGCATTCCACCAGGTCAGAGCCATCACTGAAAAGTCCATGGCCCTGGTGGAGAATAGTCTGACTTCCTTAGGGCCCGGGACCTCTAAACTATGGTTATTCATGGACCTTAAGGTACTCTGCGGGGCATACCAGGAGAGGCGGACCCGTAAATATGAGGGCTCTAAGCCACAATGGGCTTTAAAGGTCAAAGCCAGCACCTTGAACCTGACCCTATACTCCACCGGGAGCCAGTGCGACTGGTAAAGCACAGGGTGAATATGCTTCCATGGCAGAGACCCTGTGAGGAGCCTCGCTGCAGTATTCTGCACCCGCTGGAGTTTGTGGGACAGTTTCAAGGGCAGCCCCATGTAGAGCGAATTACAGCAGTCAAGCCTGAATCATTCAGATTCTCTTTGTACACACCTCGGGTGTTTCACTGCATTGCCAAAACTGTTTTAAAGCAAATTACTCCAGATGGTACACCTGGATCACACTATTGGCTCTTTCATCACCTTGCAAGAGTTAAATGTCTTTAAAGACCATAGGGGAGCTTTTTGTGTGTGTCCATGCACATGAGTTAACAACATGAAATTCTCAGAAGGTCAAATTTGTTTTATTGCTATACAGTGAAGTGGATCAAGAAGGCATGACTGGAAGAATGCATTTTCTTTGGGGGGAATGGGAGGGGCGGAGGGCAAAAAATGACTTTCAGTAGGGGGTTGCTTCTGATTTGCTTTTATGTAAATAGTGTTCCATTTACAGACTTCTTCACTGCAGTAAACAAACAAAAGCGGAGGCCTTTTAATGGACTGAAATACAAACTGGTGAGGCAAGTTATTTTACAAAGCCAGGACTGCAGGATCTTTCTAAGGCAAGCTGAATGAATAGGATAGTCACCTTTATTGTGGCACTGCTCCTGTGTCCCTTAACGTCCACTTGCTCATTCAGCAGCCTGAAATTCAGTACATGGATCCTTTCTTATTACTTTGTCTGCATGCCAGGAGGGCGGGGGGAATCATTTCTCTGTGTCAGGCACCAAGAAAGGAAAAAGAAAACAACTGATAAACTTAATCAAGGCAAGAAACTAAAGTTTTGCAGGATCTCTGGCAACTCCAAAAATTGAAACAGGTTCTCCTAGGAATAGAGTCTCCAGCTTTTGAACTGGCCATTATAGATGTGTCTTAAGAAGAAACACAAACTGTGGACATTAGCAGGTGATAATGGCTTCATTCCACACAGTTGTGAAGCTTGTCGCCTGCTGATTTTTACAGATCAAGCTGCTGAAGGCACAAAAACAGAGCAGGCCAGCTTTTTCTAATCAGTTGTTGTTTTCTTAATTTATGAATTGCCTTTTACATATATGCCTCCAATGTGATTTACCGTCATATCATATGAACAGCTAAAATAGATTTTAAAATGGTGCAACCCCTGATCCCTAAATAGTTTATAACAATACATAAGAAACGCCCAAAGTAGAGGCCTTTTTGAGCCAGTGGGGAAAGCTCATCAACGCAGAAAGTACCAATAATGGGGTGGCGCTGTGGGTTAAACCACAGAGCCTAGGACTTGCCGATCAGAAGGTCGGCGGTTCAAATCCCCGCGACGGGGTGAGCTCTCATTGCTTGGTCCCTGCTCCTACCAACCTAGCAGTTCGAAAGCATGTCAAAGTGCAAGTAGATAAGTAGGTACCGCTCTGGCGGGAAGGTAAACGGCGTTTCCGAGTGCTGCTTTGGTTTGCCAGAAGCGGCTTAGTCATGCTGGCCACATGACCCAGAAGCTGTACTCCGGCTCCCTCGGCCAATAAAGCGAGATGAGCACTGCAACCCCAGAGTCGGTCACGACTGGACCTATCATACCTCAACATGAATGCTGTGCCACAGTTTTGCTCCCTTTGCCTGTCACACGATTCAAGGATCCCAAATGGGTATGCACCTTCCCTCACTCCAGCACAACTCTAGGACCTGCTCCCCGGATTTTGAGCACCGTACCTCAGTCCCAAGAACATGTGCTGAAGTAGTGTCTGGTGGGGCGGAGAAGGGTGGGGAGCCATTGCTTGCCTGACTTGCCCAACGTAGAGGTTGCTGCTGGCAACTGATATGGTGAAGGACAAGGTGGTGGGGAGGTTGGCATGGTGCAAGTGCAGCAGCAGAGCCAATCCAACACTTCCGCTGTTGCACCTCCACCGCACCAAACTCCCTGCTGCCTCATCCCTCTACATACAGTGTTGGGTACCGGCAGTGACCTCTGCACTGGGAAGCCAGGTAAACAACATTGTTGTTG